GTGCAAAAACGCATAATCGCACCGGCCCGCCTGGTGCGTTCCAGCCTGGGTTCATCTTGAAACCTACAATATGGGGCTGAAATTCTGGGAACTTAATCTACATGTATATAGGGCTCCCATTCCCAAAATGGGCGCACTTACCCGCGTGGTATTCAAGTACGGGCCCGCCAAAGTTTTTTACGGGCAAGTCGCTAACTCGAAAACCAGAGAAGCTGGGAACCTGAAATTTTAAGCGAACGCCCCCCTCCACTTAGCCCTTAACAAGTTCAAACACAGTCCTCAAGCGTGAAAATTTTTTACGGGTCTTTAATTCGGGAGCCTGAAAAGCTAGAAGACTGTGATTTGGCGGAAGTGTTTCCCGCCCACTAGGTGTTAATGAGCTCAAACCCAGACACGGGGTATGCGTGGTACCCACGTGCGGTCTCGTGAAAATCTTTTCGGGCAAATTGTTAACTCGGGAACCTAAGAAGCTAGAGGATTGGAATTTTAAGCGGATGTTCCCCATCCAAGTAGGTATTAATGAGCTCAAACTCAGACACTGGGTATGCGTGGTACCAAAGTACGGGCCCGTGAAATCCGGGTAATCTGTTAACTCAGGGACCAGAAAAGCTAGAAAGCTGAAATTTTACGGGGGCGGTTAATGACAGTGTGGGCCGCCAGTCTTAATTTGTTTAGCTAGAAGCATTTGTCGAAAAAACCGGTGCCGGTAGCGAAAAAAACTGCGAGGAACTGTGCAAAAAACGCATCTTCGCATGGACAGCCGGTGCGTTGGCCAATTATTTATGCCTTCCGAGATGACAGTTTTCCCACCGAAATTTCCACGGGACCGCAAATGGGACCCAGCTTTAACTGGAAGCTGAATTTGAACTTGCGGAGTCATGCATGGGTAAAGGACATAATTCCCTAAAATTTCAGCTCCCCGGCTTTCGAGCTTCCCGAAGGCAATAATTTTCTCCGCCAAAACTTCGCGGGGTTGCACGTAGCACTTAGACGTACGTAAAGGTTGAGTTTAAATTTGTGAGTTCGCGCATGGGCGGGGGATATTCTACCAAAATTTTAGCTTTCCAGCTTTCGTTGAAAGCGCGGGAAAAACCCCGCACGCAGTCACGCATGCACACACACACATACGCACACATCCTTTTGCCGATATTCGTTTTGCGTACTGTTGCAGTGCTATAGAGTTGCAGAGCAACCCAGTCTGGAACGCACGGGTGGGCCCGTGCGATCATGCGTTTTTGCACCGGACTTAAAGTACTCAGGTCATTGACTGCATGAATGGCTTTACTTTACACCTACCTTTTGCGGCCACTAGCATAAATCACCATAAATTTTGCAAAATAATTGTACAAATTCCAATTAACAGTCGTTCTTTAAAAGTAACCAAATTGTTTAGTAAAAAATTTTTTCGCCGAGACTTTTAAGTGACCGTACGTAAGAATCACCCATACCTCAAGGTTGAATTTGAAATACTTATGTTGTACTTAGATAGGGAATATTTCCTCAAAATTTCAGCTTTTCTGCTTTTCTGATTAACAAGTTAGCGATATTTCCGCCAAAACCTTCACATACCCGCACACGGGTACTCCACGTGTTTGGAAAGTTGAATTTGAAATTTTTTAACTGCACTTGAACAGGGAATATCCCCTTAAAATTTTAGCCTTCCAGCTCTTGTGGATGCCGAATTAGTAATTTTCCTTCAGAAACTTTCATACGCCCTTATGTGAGTACCACGCACGGTTTGGTTCTGAACTTGAAACATTTGAGTTGTATTTGGATAGGGGGCTTTCCCCCAAAATTTAAGCTTTATAGCTTTCCTGGTACCCGAGTTAGCAATTTTCTCCCTAAAACTTTTCATACGCCCTTACTTCAGTACCATGCATACCAGGGGGCTGATTTTGAAACATTTGAGTGTTGCTTGGATAGGGAACATTCCCCCAGAATTTCAGCTTTCTAACTTTTCTGGTACCAGAGTTAGCAATTTCCCCCCTAAAACTTTCAGACGCTCTTACGTGAGTACCACGCGTACCTGGAGGCCGAATTTGAAATCTTTAGCTAGTACATGCACAGGGAATATCCGTACAAAGTTTCAGCCCCTTAGCTCATGTGGTTCCCGAGATCGCTTTCCCGCCAAAAAATTTGCATACGCTTCCGTACGCGGCACCCAGGCGTCCGAGGGGGTGAAATTAAAACGGGAGGGTCGCGCATGGTATAGGCACATATCCCCAAAGTTTCAGCTTTCTGGCTTTTCTGGGACTCGAGTTGAAAGTGGGTGACAAAAAGTGCGAACACACACACAGCCTCTTCCCAATACGCGTTTTTGGAATTTACATATATGTAAAAACGCATAATAAAGTGGTTGATTGTCCAGCTTGTCCCTCGTCATGAGTCCCCGCCGCCAAAACTATGACCAAACCATTCTCCTTGTACGTTACCCTGCGCCCACGGGAACCTTATCCGACGCTCGGGGAACGTTGCCCAAGTTCTCAGAGGAGAAACGATGCCTGTGACAGCTGTTGTGTCTCATTAGTGCAGAAACGAGTGCTTTTTATGGGGCCGAGCTGAGCCGAATTTTAGCAGTTATTAAAAATTCTGGACAATGCTGAGTTGCTGCCGCCACAACGTTGTGTCGGGTCTTTGAGGTAGTGTGAAGGGGTAAGAGGGAGCAGGGGGGTTGTGGGTGCTGTAGAGGGCATGTGAGGCTACTGTCCATTGTTGTTCACGTAGCGTAAGGGGCCGCCGTGGGGAGTTTTGCAGCTGAAGTGTTACTAGATGAGGATTAATTCTGAGTTGATATGCATCTGTTTTTTTCTTTTTCCGATTAACAGCTTGTACGGCAGTGGTGCAATCGAGCTGCTGGGTTTTGAATGTCGTGGCGCAGCAGTATCGCGCTCACTGCCGACTGCCTGACGTCCGCGCACTGTGTAAGCCGATTGTAGCATCCAGGTTGACCTTGAGTGCCAAAGTGTCGAAGGCGTATTGAATACAGTAAAAATTTGCTGGAATTTTGCCAAAGTGCAGCAAGAAGTAGCGCGCCGTTGGTGCTTCAGATGCTCATTGCGAGTACGCTCGCACGTTTGGCGGCGCCTGCAGCTGCACCGGTAGCGTTTTGCCATTTGTGCACAGCCTTACTGCACGTGATGCTTGCCAGTTCAGTTCGTTTCGCCGCCTCGCTGCTCGCTCCCAGCGTGAGTTTATCGACAGATGGAGCACAATCGTTATGCACAAACGTCCAACAGGCCGCTGCTCAGTCGGCGTTCACGCAGCGCTAAGCAAAACAGACAGCAGCATTCAGATTGTCCCTGGAAGTGCAGATGGCGAAGGTGCGAAGGAATTCAGGAGAAAAGAAATAGTGTAGATTAGAGAAGGCAAGAATGAGATAAGACGTTTCGGTCCATTAAGTCTTAACACTGCGCCTGGATCTCGCACCGTCTTGAGCATTGTGTCGCGGGAGCTATCAAGCAGCGATGGCCATCCCCCTATGCTCCCTTGTTGCCCTGTGCTCAATTTCAGTATTTTCTAAGCCTCCAGCTGCTTCTGTTCCTTACCAAGGCAGCGGCCCATGTGAGAACACGCTAGTATTCTGCGCCTTACACTTCTCCAGCTTAATGAATGCCTATGCTGTAATCTGTGCCAGTTTGTAAAGTAGCGTATCCTGTAAACCATTGCAACCATTTTAGAGGCAGAGGAGAAAAAAGAGTCTGCAAAGAAGCGGGAGTTGCGAGAGCCAGTTAAATGGAAAAGAGTGAGTCCCGGACTCGAAATGTCGCTCTAATCACTGGAATATCGGGACAGGTAATCCATTTTTTTATGCGTTTTTCTGCATCTTCGCAATGCAAAAACACATATTGTCGAGGCTTTGTCTGTGTGTGCGTGTATGTCTGTATGTGTGTCCGTATCAGTTTTTCATCTCGATACCCGGAAAAGCTACGAAACTGAAACCTTGGCAACTTGGTCCACACGCATGTATGGGTCTCTGCCCCCAAAATGGACGCTCATGCGCGCGTGGTTCCCACGTATGGATCTGTGAAAATTTTTGATGGGTAAGTTGCTAACTCGGAAATCAGAAAAGCTAGAAAGCTGAAATTTTAAGGTGACGTTTTCTAACAGCCATGGTGGCCAGTCTCATTTCTTTTGGCTGGAAGCATATGCCTGAAAAGCAGTACCGTTAGCGACAAGAACCTATGGGGAACTGTGCAAAAAACGCATCTTCACACGGCTGTCAGTGCGCTGGCCGACATTTTTATTTTTCGCTTCTGAAATGCAATAGCTCTGAATGCGTGTCGTTCTGGATGTCCCCATGACTTACAGTTGTCATAAGTACCCCGTTTGCTGCCTGCTTTGCTGTTCATCATCCCTCGCTGCTGTCAACAGTATTTTTCTTCTAGTAATTACAAGTGTCTATGCGCCGCGAGTAATTTGGTTTTTCAATGTTGAGGATGGCTCTTACCTTGCGGAGCTGCTTCTTTCGAAGGGTTACGAGGTGCACGGGATAATTCGTCGCTCGTCCTCCTTCAACACGGCGCGTATCGAACACCTCTACTCAAATCCGGTCTCTCACCGCGGCGACTCCAGTTTCACCCTTCACTATGGGGACATGACAGACTCCTCGTGCCTCATCAAATTGGTCAGTGAGATCCAGCCAACAGAAGTGTACCACCTGGCTGCTCAAAGCCATGTTAAGGTTTGCTTTTTTTTTCAAAAATGAGATAATCCTGTGTCCTGTCAAGCGTCCCGTAAGGTGCAAGCACTCCAGATTCGACGTCCCTCTGTGAAAATAGTTTTTGCATTTCTTTCTATTTTCCAGGAATTTAGCAATACAGATTTTCGCTTTATTTGCGCCCTGATTTGGACCATCCTGTTGATTTTGCCGAGTTTTAGGCATACTTTTGCACCTTTCAATTCAGATTTTTTGTCCAAAATTCGTCTCCCTCGCTACACTTTCCGCCTCAGTAAGATTGGGCCTCATTTGCGGGTAAAGAGGAGCCACTGCGTTTGGGCAGGCCATTGTTGAAGTGCTAAGTCGGTCTCCGTTTCATACTGATTTTGGTGTCTCTTATTTGTGAAATATGTTGAAATTGGTGAGAAACAGCAGCAACGACAGTTGCAGGTGTCTTTCGACTTGCCCGAATATACAGCTGAAGTAGATGCGGTTGGAACGTTGCGCTTATTAGTCGCTATTCACGCATGTGGTTTGACCGAGAAAGTGAAATTTTATCAAGCATCCACATCGGAGCTGTTCGGAAAGGTGCAGGAAGTACCTCAGAAGGAAACTACGCCTTTTTATCCTCGTTCACCTTACGGTATATTTTTCTGAGTGCCTTCTCTGCTGCCCTTTTTGTTCGTATTTTTTAACGGGCAGCGTCACTGGGCTGTGTTATCTTAGTTGTTCCAATCATCACAACTTTGATCTAACTCTGCCCTTCTAAATTGTAGCAGCAGCGAAGCTTTACAGCTATTGGATGGTGGTTAATTACCGTGAAGCGTACAACATGTTTGCTTGCAATGGAATTTTATTCAATCATGAAAGCCCTCGAAGAGGTGATTTTTTGTTTGTC